GAATTTGAGCTCAGAGACCTTGTCTCAAAATATCAATTGCTACTGGCATTATTTTTAATATACCCGCCTGTATCAAGCATGATCAAGGGTACTGACTAAATAAATTCGCATTGTTAACTAAACATACAATTTAACAAACCAGTCGTTCAACCCTGTCTAAGTCACAATTACAAAACTCTAAAATAACGAGTTCCACTTCTTATAAACAACATGTTGATTTATACTGGGAGTTTTTTCAGAAGATAACGAATTGCTCGGCAAAATCGCGACATAAAATTCCAAGGTTTCGCAAAAGAAGTGGAATTGTGATCTTTTGTACGCTAGATCACTTATTTCTGTAAAATAGATTCGTTCAGCTTAAGTAAAGTTGACTTAACTGCTAGTTTGAAAGAGTTCAGCTACTGTCAGAGTATTCTAATAATATACATGTGAAAAAAATCAAAATGCTATGTAGAGCTATGTAGATATTCTCGAGTCAATCGCACGGTTGGCCGAGAGATATTGAGCTCAATGTCCAAGTGTTTCAATGTGCTGGTAAACATTTAAAAATGCTACTTTTACAATAACTGTTATTTCTCGCGCGCTGATTGCTTCATTTTTATCATCAATAAGAGTACAGACGGATAAAATTTTGGTCTATGCAAGCTTTCAAGTTCAACTTTCAGCTGTCAGACTGTCAACTTTTTTAGGTAGCCAATCAAAAAGCGAGAAAAGCTATTGCCAATGTTCGCATCATTTTGAATAAAATTCACTTATCTTTGTTTACGGCAAGTTTACGGCGTCTTTTCCCCTTATTTATTCCCGGCATTTGACCATTTTGGGGTCTTGTTATTGTAAAATACAAATTGACGTCAGTTTTTCATGAGTCTGTCCTCTTATTGATGAAAAATTGCGTCATAACATTGTCAAAGTTTACTGCGGAAACACTCGCCTGGGGCTCGTGCTTCCACAGCCACTTTGAAAATGTTATGACGCAATTTATCATCAATAAGAGGACAGACGCATAAAAACCTGACGTTAATTTGTTAAGTGGAACCATGTGTAATAGATTCATGTACCTTACAGTATAGTGATGTCATCTGCCTCCCAGATAGGCTTTCTGTCAATAATGTATACGTGTTGACGAAAAAATAATAATCAAAATGCTCCATTATTCTAACTACTGAAAATAGCTTAATGTAGGTTT